ATTTTTTGGACATGGATCCACATTTGTAGATGCATAGTGCATTTCAGCAGGGAAAATCAAGAGAGCATGCACATTGATAGTTTTGCTAGAGCAAACACACTGAAGACATACTCTTCACTGGCTTCAGGGTTCATCGATCGGGCAGTAGAAACGGCCCTCTGCTGGTCGCTGCTTCTAACTGCATTTACCATTTCACCTACTTACAAAACAGTGAAACCAATTGAGCACCCTTCTGGGCAACAGATCACAGTATCTATGAAGAAAGCGGAGGAGTCAAGTCACAGTGGGGAACATTATGTCTAAAGTATGAGCCATAGTACTGCGATTGCCCCTCTTCTAACAGGCGCAGGTCTTCTGAGTGCCTTCACTGCCTATCTCTTCTTCTAAAGCCTTCTCCAGATAATCATCCAAAGATCCCAACAAGTCATCCACGTCTCTCTTGTGAGCCTGCAGCACCAGTTCTGTCATGCGAGTGAAGGCCTGAAGGAAGTGAAAAATTAAACACACAAGACAATAAATAACAGTGTAGCAGGGAGTTCCCCACAGTATTTGTGTACATCTCTAATGTGGCAGACAGTTTCTTCGCTGATGCGCCCTGTATCCTACCTCAGTGACGTTACTGCTGGTGGAAGCACTGGTCTCAAAGAACTCCATCCCATAGGTTTCTGCTAGCTGCAATATCCAGGTGGATGTGGTGAGAAATAAGCACAACAAAAGGTATTTCATAGCTTTAGTCTAGGTTTTTTCCCACATAAAATAAAAACAGGGTTTAAGAGACTGGATGTTAGTAGTTATCAACTGGCCTATCAATTTGTTTTTTAAGAAATATTCACACAGATTAGCTGATGTGCTGGGCCCACTTTGGAAAAAGAAAGTGATCATGAAAGCTACATTAATACATGGGACGGTGTAGTATTTTATCATAAGCTGATTATGGTGAAATTCCATCATCGGGATAAACGTGAACATAGTCACGAGCAACTAAGAAAGGCTGTCTAGCTCGCTAGCATGTACAGAAGTAACAAATAGACCACGATTAAAATAAATACAGGAATTATGATGTAAATAGAACACAATGTTTTATTTATTGATCCTATATTTGTGCAGGGGGACCCTATGATTTATGATTACCTTATTCAAAATTGATTGGATTTCACAAAATAAATGACTCTCACTAAAAATTAGTTTCTTAACTAGATGGAAGGTTAAGTGATTTCCATAAGTTTAAGTGCCATTTTAAGAGTTTCAAGCATATTTTGATGATTATTGGGATAATATTGTGAATTGAAATTGCTTTGACCAGGATCATTTTCATGTTGTACCATGCCTATACCATAGTTGGTGAAATACTTGCCAAACTAATAAACAAAACTGACATTTAGCTGTGTATCCTTTAGAAATGTCTGCTTACCATTTTATCCTGGTAATCTAATGTCACTAAATGTACGGCGGAACATTGGAAACGACAAAACTACTGAGTGGATCTACAACACCCTACACAATACATGGTCCCTTAATATGTAATTTACATGTCAAAACGACCATAAAAATCCAAATAAAACCCACAATATAAGGTTAAATCAAACCTTGCTTCCTTGTTCCTTTGTTACCTGCCTGATGAGTTCCTCATCAGACTTGTTTCCTACCAAGATCTTCTGCACCGCGTCTGGGGCATACTGCAATAAAACAACAAAAAGGAAAGACAGATCGCGGAGAGATAAGAAACCTCATAATCTTGTAGCTCACAGTAAGCTAGTAGGTGTGCAGCAAGCATCATGAAAGTGTTTATTGCCTTACATCGTCCACATCACTGGCCCACTTCACGAGGTGCTGAAAGGACGACTCGCTTGTGATGTCGTATACAAAGATGATACCCTGGGCAAGAATCCACGAGGAAGAGTTAGAGAAGGAATGCTAACCCTAACCCATGAAGGTACCTTGTTCGTAGGGGGGGGATGATCACCTGTGCACGCCTGTAGTACTGTTTGGTGATGGTCCGATAGCGTTCCTGACCTGCCGTGTCCCTGCACACAAGAAAACACACACACACACACGATTACACAACATGCGAGTCAGCATACTGTACATGCAATAAAATGACATAACTTACCATAACTGTACTCGCACCTTGATTCCATCTAGTTCTAGTGTTCTCATTTTAAAATCAACTCCTACAAAATAAAAAAGGAGAAAAATGACATTTCATTTCACAGAAAAGCAGAGTCAACGACACACAACAGAAGCAATTTGGGACGCAACCGCAAACACCGTCACGCGGTTAAACTGGAATCACTTAAGCAACTGTGACAAACTGGTGAAAAATCCTGCTTTGCGGTATTTTACGTGGGCTGTTGTGTGTTTGTGAGCACTTAATGAGTGCTGTTCAGACACTATTATCCCTAATGAATAGTGTCTCAGCCACTGCATATTGTCAGCTGTTAAATCACTGGGTCACCACAAGGGAGCGGCAACTGATGTGAACTAAAGCTGTGTTTTGTTTTGCTCTGGGTAACAAGACCAGAGAGCTAAGAAATGTGACCAAGTAGCACCAGCTGCCAACAAGACTTATGTGTACATAGTATATATTAAAGTAAAGATGACATACTGTTCATATCCTAGTCCACACTAAAAAGATTAATTTCCGTTGTTCATGCTACATACTGTCTGCATTAGTACTGTTGTATTGCAGTTTTGAGATTATCGATCCTAAATATACTATGCGGTATATTATTTACTTCATGTTTCATCTACTAATTATCTTCCTGATTATTCAATATGATCGTGTGATCTAAAATCGGCAGAAAATGCTGAAAAACAGATTAAAATAGAGTCTTAATCTGATTACTCTGTATTTGCGTGCATGCATGTAAACATAAAGCAGAAAGTCCTTTTAACACCTTGTTACTGACAGAAGATTGTATATTAAAAATGTGCCATTTGGGCTTTACTTGTGTTTATGTATTATATATATTCAACAGGTCCGTTCAGCCTGCATGTCAGTGGCTTCTTGTTCCCAAACATCTCTGAAACACACGGTGCTTGTGAGAAGTGTTTACCTATAATAACTACCATCATGCATCTAAAAGCAAGGAGATTTCACCAACAATGCACTTTCCCAGATAGCTGGGTTTAATCCCATGTAAAGCTCTCCTGAGATCCAGCTCTCCAGCTTGCACTTCACAAACCTTTTACTAGGAATTCCCTCAACACTACAGCTGTTTTTCTTTGCTGATGTGGGAATAACTTACTCTATTGTGTGCAACAGCTCCACCGCTTCCCACCAAGTCAGTTTATCACACAGTCTGAGCACTAATGTGAGTATCAGTCTACAAGATCCATTTTCTGAATAAATAACAGGATATGAAACACTTTGAGGGCAGAGGAAATGTCTTTTCCTGGGAACTTTCCTTTCCATTGATTGTAATTGTGACTGTTAAAATCCTTGCTTTCAGACCTCTCCTGCATCCTTAAGTATATTTCTTTAGGACTATATATATATCTCTGTTAGAAATTATAAATATGTCAGGCTAGCTTTCTAAGCACTCAGTTTTAGGGCTGTTATGGCCTGAGGCACTTTGTACTAATCCTACTAATTTAGCTGAGTAGGCCTGCTTATACTTTGAACAAAAACTGGCAATTGTTCTGAAAATTCAGTTCAAAAGTCGACATTCATAGTGTAAAAAAATAATTCACTGATGATTATCCGGTTCAACCTGCGGCTGCAACACGGAGCCATAGGATGAGTTTTGAAACAGGCGTCAGTGAAAACTTATTGGAGGGCTTACCGATGGTGGAAATATGTGAAGGATCAAAGTAACTTTCCGTGAACCTGCGCAGCATGCAGGTCTTCCCGACCCCCGAGTCTCCGAGCATCAGCAGCCTGAACAAAACGTCGTACTGTTTAGCCATGACCAAAAACTAAAACATAAGGCACAGCATGACTCTTCCATGTAGCTTTAGACACACCGTTGCTGTGTGCTGCCTTCATGCCCCTCGGAAAACCCTATTCTGTACTCGGAAATGTCAGATACAAAGTACAAGTTGTTCCAATCGAGTTTATCGGATTATAGGCTAAATACTGTAGAAACATGAACAATGCTGAGTAGTTTACGTGTATTCAATCCACACAATGTTATTGCAGCTTCTCATTTACAGACTTTACGCTGAAAAAAGACCAAATTATTTAATTTTTAATTTAAGTTCTTATGTGTTCTAAAATATTTCCTACGTCCCCAGAAGGCAGCACACGACCTGGGTCCTTGAAGAGGCTGCTACCTGCAGCGGGAGCGTCAGCTGGGACGCATCACGCATGAGCTGATCCCAAAATCAATATTTAAACAATCTCTATATACAGAGCTATAGCCAGCTATTAGATATACTGAGGTCATGAGACAACATAGCCTCAATGTAACCCCACCCACCCCAGAACATTTTGTCTTAACACCAACAAACTAGTTTACATTTCACATTTTTATAAAGCGAAAAATGCTTTAAAATGTACAAAATTCCATTTTCTATTTCTGTTTATGTTGTTCCTCCACACTGCCATTAAGTAATGTTGCTGGAGAATGCTAAATATCTAATCCACGGTCATTTATTATTATTTATTGTATCTTTCGTTTGCACAACAATCAAATCTTACAATGTTTAGACTAAAACGATCAGAATCAGGCTTTATGATATCCCTCAATGTAAACTTGTGACATAAAGCTCCAAACTCCCTAAAATATGAATAAGGCTATAACCTCTGTCTTCAATAGCATCCCGAGTACAGGCACCTGTCTCTTATTGTCTAGTTAATATCTGAAACTGAGAAAAACAAAGAAACCTAAATATTCAATTCATAAGTCATTTAGAGACATTTAATATCCTCAAATGTGTTCACTAAATGATCCCTCTTGATTGCTTTCTATTAGCAGTTTCTTAAATTTGATTAAACATCTGATTATTTCAATAACTGGGATTGGGAATGAGTTCACTCTTACATTTCCCTCCACAAACACATAAAAAAAAAGAAACTTAGAAAGCTCAATGTACAAAAGCTCTCATATGGTTGTTATTAAAAACATGTCGAGCCACAAATACATCCCAAAAGGATAAAATAATTTTATTTATAGTCTCATAATAAAGGTATGCCTTAACTTGCAAGACAACCGTTGGCAGTATGTACAACATACCTGTAATTTCCACAGAATGGAACAAACAAATATTGATTACGTACACACTAGTTTACCTCTGCAAAAAGGAAAGAAAAGAAAGAAAAGATAAACGTTCCCGGCACAGGCAAATATTTCAAGGAAAGGCTTTTCTTTGCAGAAGTGACACCATTAAAGAGTACACAGTGTTATATACTACACACGGAAACAAACTTCCATTAACAAAAATAAAGGTCACTGCCCCTCACCTGCATTGTGTAACATTCAGTGTCCAATAGGGGATTTTTTTTTTGTCTTCTTATACTCATTTTATCTGATAATAATAAAAATAGAGGAAAATAAATAGTTGTACCTGTGGAAAATCCACTAAAACAGCAGGTCAACTTGATCATCCTCCTGTGCTCTCTGGAAAATCTCAAGCCAAACATAGAGGAGATCAGACATGAGGGTAAGAAATCAATGTCGGTGCATCACTATAAATAGAGGGATTCTTTGATTACACAGACAACTTCAAAGACAAAAACTTCAGCCACCTACACTGAATAAAGGGGGGGGGGGTTACATTTTGCATTACAGACATTTTTTTTTTTTTTTTCAAAAGCAACTTCACATTGTTTTCTGGAAAAGTATGAATATTAAAAAGGTCAAATAACCCTAATTACCATTTTGTCGAAGGTCAAAAAGTCTCACAACTCCAACAGATTGCAGAGGTTGTCCAAAACAACCAAAAGGAGGAAAAAAAACCAACCCATATTTTTGTGTAGCTTTACTAAAGCGTCATACCTTGTCATCTCCTTTTGATTATGAAAGGTTATAATAAAGATAGGGGGGGGAGTCCTTCAAAACTGCTGAGCTGCCTCTTTGGGGGTCTTAAGAGTTGTTGCTGGGGCCACGAACGGAGTGACAGGATGCTTTGCCAGGAGGAAAAAAAAAGAAGGTAGAAGCGTTTTATCCATAATAGCATCTCTCTCACACAGGCCTCCACCTTGTCTCGTGGACTGGCGTTAGAAGGCAGGACTTAGTGCGGACAGGTGAGAGGATTCAGGGGCTGGTGGGCAAAAAGAGTCTGTTCGGAGAACTGGAGGTGGAGTCGAGTCTAGCTGGGCTCCACGCGCAGCTTCTTTCTGTTGGGCGGCTCGTCCGGCTCTGATTCGGAGCTGGAGTCGGACCCGCCGTCGAAGGCGGACACCGCGCTGCCTTTGCGGTTTGTGTACAAGCTGCTGTCAGAAGAGTAGTTTGTCTGGAGCTGAGTGTTGCCCTTCGCCTTCTCCAGGGCACGCACTGCAATTCACAGAAACAAACGTCAAATATCGCTTATTGTAACTGAAAGGCCGCATCACAAAACAAGAAAAAACATGCAACTCCTCCACTTACCCTGCTGCTCCAACACTGCATTTTGCTTCTTTAAGTCATCGATGTCTTGCTGGTGGGTATGGTTTTTTCGCCTCATGTACTGGATGTACTCAGTGGCTTTGTCTAGAATCTGTGCTCGGGAGGCCTGTTTGACAGAACTCTGTCAGCAAAAATTTCAGAGAGCCAATGGGGAAAAGCTGCAGTGTCTGTTCGTTCAGGAAGAACAACATCAATCGTGCAAAAACAGTTATGCAAATATCACAGTGTCATACATGTGTGTTGCAATTAGTTTTTAATCTGGATTATTAAATAAGGGTTAAAAAACACAACAGGACTATTCCGAGGGGTCAGCAACCTTTGTTACATGTGCTAACATTGACACACTGCAGAACAGCACTAAAACACTCATTTCCTCCATGTTGATCATCACACACCTGCATATTGAATTACGCCAATTCCTGCTGCAGTTGGATTTAATTTGAATGATTCGCTGATTGATAAAATGGACGCATGGATGTCTTTGCTTGGCACGCCATCGTTTAAATAGAGCCCATGAATTTTGTCATTATTCTAGGCAAGACCTCGAAGACAGCTGTCAACAAATTGCAGAAAGGCAAATAAGAGCCAATGGTTTCACACTGACTATTTGGCATCGTTTTTGTTTTTCTGCCTCTAAGGACATGCAGGTCAGATTTATGCCAATAGTTCGCCAGCATCTAGGAAGATGAATGGATGGTCACACTTGACAAGAAAATCTAAAAGTGTCTCTTAATGTGGACAAGGTTGCTGCGCCCCGAGATAGACGGCCTTACCTTTTAAAAGCGATTCAACATCTCTTCGTTGGAAGAGTTATGGAATGTAGAAAGTGCATATAACTTCCTCTCACCTTCTCCCCTTGTAATGCAGGCACAGAATCTCGTAAACCGTGAAAGCTGTCTTTTATGTGGTCCCTGCGTTTGCGCTCCAGCGCATTGTGATGGGCTCGCTTGTCTGCCTGCAAAGAGACAGGGAAAGTGTACAATTAAACCACATGTCCTATATATTGAACCGAGGAAGTCACAAGAAGGTTGGTGATTTATAACAAATTAGAAGAAGAGAGCAAGAAATTAGAAGCTGCAATATGCAAAACACTGCAGCTTTAAATTGCAAATACGTTGGTCAAGTAGTGATCTTATCCTTCACGGGGTCCTTGTTTGTACATCTTAACTGGAGAAGTGCTGCGTGCTTTGAGTTGCTTAAAGGGTTGGAACAGCATGTCCTGACAGTCTAAGCACTTTGTCAAACAACTGTCCCTCACATGAACTCCACTGTCTACCTTCTCTCTTCTGTTTGAAATGGACTGGACAGGACCAATAGATGCTAAAAGAATAATCTCATTTTAGGGTCAATAGCTTCCGAAGCTACATAAATGCGTGCATATCCGTTGCAGGAGTTAACTCAGCTGATGATGGCTTGATTGTCAACAGACATATACTTGGTATAGATTTGTGTAATGTGCGTCAAACGTTAAAGGCGCACGTGTCGGCGTGGGAAGTTTTCACACCCTTAAGCCTTACATGGCTGGATGAGGCAAATAGACCTGAATCTTGATCTCCTCATAGTTGTTATCATACAATTTGCCAGGTCAAATAATGTACAAATGTATGAAAATAGCACAAATATAGTACAGAATAAAATTGCTATACACATTTTTTATTGAAATGGATGTCATTAATAAGAGCTGCCATTTATAACAGATATATAACATGGAAATAATATTCCATGTTAGGTTTGGCCTATCCTGGAACTGTTTAAAAATGTGGGTTTAGCAGGCCTAACATTATATGTGTGTTAAGAGGATCTAAAGCTGGAGATCCCAGCTTAATCAAACAGGGGGGGGTGGAGGGGAATCCATGGCTCTGAGAAATATGTGACCAGATCGATGATCTGACACGATTTCATATGCATTCTCTGTTAAAACACAGCAGCACATTAATGTGCAATTAAATGCTGCTGGGATTGTAAACCATGGGGAATTCAAATTAGCATGTACAGTATGCGTGATCTTGCATTTGACAAGTATGTTTTCAAATGATGTGTGAAGTCCTGCAGCAGCACTGGATTCTCGTTGTAGGAGAAAATATTTCAAAAAGGTCCAGAAAGCTGCAAGGAAATGGGAGCTGAACTTGGCATGTCCGTGGTCGACAAAACAAGAACACATCAACACATCCGTCTTGTCCTGTTTGCACAGCCGCCGTTTGGGTTTCGTCGCGCGTGTATTCGTGCAATTACGGTGACATTGCTTTACGCGGCCAAGATGGACGTTTAAAGACTCTCGCTGAAGACTTGAACAAAGTTGACGTTACGCTAACTACAATGAGACCGTATTCACAAATATAAAAACATAGAAATCCACCTTTTTATATAACATCAGACAACGGCTCTCTGAGCAGAAATCCCATTATGTTATATCAGCAAACCTATTATGAAAACGGTTTCATCATAGTTAAAAAAATAAGGGAATTGTCTATGCAAAAAGTGTGTACATTAGAGGTATAAAAGGCCAAAATCACACAATCTTTCCTATTTGAAAGTAGACATGTTTAGTAAATGATTTGTAATATAATACTGAGCGAGTCTGTCTGGCTGCTCCCAGCACCTGTACCGTAATTACACAAATAGCTGTGCAAAAGAAATCAAAACGATGGTTGGTTTAACGGGGTTGCGCAAATGACGGCTCACTTGACCCCACTTGACATCAGTAAAACGGGGCAACGTCTTCACCACACTTAAGTGCTCGACATTCATTAACAAGCCAGCCAGTCAGTTAACACTTCAAAACATTATTTTTCCAAATAGCTCACTTTCGATTTGTCTAAAAAAAAAAACAGTTGCAGCAAAGAAACCCCGCTAGCTAGCTAGCTAAATCAATCACATAGCTACGGTTGGCAGGAATGTTAAAGTTGCTGTTCGGCTAACAATTTGGCTAAGCTAGCTACTTCTAGAGGAAACTAAACCACATACATCGCTGTCGACGTCGATGTCGTCGTTTTCGCTCATTCTTCGGTAAACAGGTTACGAGAAAAGAAAACAAGCAGCTGTCAAAACAAAGTGCAGCGACAACTGGAGGCAAATAATAAAATCTAGCACGGAGCTTTGCTACAGCAGAGACATGACGCTCAACGGTTTCTCTACACGTGATTCGCCTACACATGGACGGGAAAACATAAACAGCGCAGGCGCAACAAAACAAGGCATTGTGGGTAATGAAGTAATTCTCCAACACGCACACCGGCTTTTCGTTGGTGATGCTTCTGGACTGGGAACTGCATTTCCCACAATCCCACGCATTTGGACGCGCCCACCACAATATACCGTTATAGCCTACAAGTTGCAAAAACGGCAGTCTCACATGGATCATAATGTTCTTTCTGGTACAGTTATAAATAAATATATTAGAAACAGCATTTCATTATAGTGCCTTAAATAAATCAGTGGTGCCTTGAACAACATACAGTCATATTTGATGGAGCGTATTCTCTCTAAATATAGCCTGACTGTCATGAACACAGGACTCTGTGGTAATAAGGATACACGTGCATTGTGCTAAAGTCTGCTGTTTCAGTGGTCATTGTCAGCGGTGTATGCTACAATAACTAGGATCTCCTCCCAGCATATGATTATGAGGCCAGATGGTGGCCTAGCTCACTATTGCTCCCTCCCCCACTCACCATTCATGACTGCACACTTGCCTCCATAAGACCTTTAAATAGCTTCTGCAGCAAGCCATCACTGATACACTACTGCAGCACTATAGAAGCGCTTTATTATCAGGAATTTGTTTCATATAAATAAGACAAAGCTATACACGGGCTGTTTTACATCCTTAAAAACAACTTAATAAACGACACCATGGCGTTTACTTTTCCATTTAATATTTAGACAACAGATGGTGTCTCTACAACATATCAGCACATATTACCTTCATTGTCACTTTTAGATGCGGATAGTTTGTACCTCATCACCAACACCATTACTAACAATCCAATCAGTATTTAGTGGAATGGAGTTATTCACCCCTCCATAGATCATAGTTCAATTAGGATAACTCACTTGTTTTCATGAAAAATACATGTTCAAACTATTTTTAGTACATTGTATGTTTCGCGCGGGAAAATAAAAGGTTCCCGTCAAAGTCAAAATAGTATCTGTATTTCTCGCACAGGTTGGGTAGTGAGAAAGAGAGTGTGTGTGCGTGTGAGATTGGGATGAAATAAAGTGTGTGTGTGTGTGTGTGTGTGTGTGTGTGTGTGTGTGTGTGTGTGTGTGTGTGTGTGTGTGTGTGTGTGTGTGTGTGAAATGGGGTGTAACATGGTGGGAGGGAGTAAGAAATACTTTGTCTCACATTTTCAAAGAAAGAAATGGTCTAAACTTGACACTTCTGACCCCTTATAGCCTCCACTTTTACTGCCGGGTCGAATTGACCCGAACATCATCCCTGTAATACAAACCTGCAGGGGGGGGGGGGGGTGTTGCAAATAAGGTGATATGAACCATTTCTTTTTTAAACGTTGATTACACTAATTAAGGCAAGCAAAGGAAGTTTCATACTAGATTTTCAAACTTCGAAACGGGTCAATGTGACCCGCAACATAACAGGAGGGTTGTTCCTGCGAGATTCCATTGAATGTCAGCATGTTAGGTGCTTTGAGGTTTTGGCACCTTTAACTTTGACCTAATCTCTACCATGCTTCAGATATCTAGGCAACAACATTTGAGCCTTGTGTAACATATCAGCATCAGCTCTGAGTTGTAAATGAAAAGTCTTGTTGGACAAAGCCCCCAAGTCTCACAAAAAAAGAGGGCCCCTTTTGAAAAGACTGAAAACTCAGCCAGCCACACGGAATCCTCTGCCTGGTTGCATAATATTAATTGAGGGTCTGTTGACACATGCAAGTGAGGCCAAATGAATAAATTACCTCTTTAGAGATACAAACACTTTCAACATTTTTGAGCCCATCGATGCCAAACTTTCCCACGGTGCCCTGAAAACGAGGAACTAGGGGAACAACTCAGTATGGATAGGAGATGACTTTCAGCAACCGGCTGAAAAGCAGGATTCACTAGAATTCAGTTTAACACGTATAAATAATAGCTGTGCAAGGAGTTGAGCGTGGTTTGAATGGTTTCCTACTGGAGTTGATTGCCATGTTTACACCTACCATGGTGTCACCAGCCCATGTGACGGAGAGGGGAGGGCAGGAGGTCCAAAAGGAGTTTGGTGCAAGAATGTGAGGAGAAATGGAAACAAGAGTGTTAGTGAGCACAGCAAAGTTGCAGAAACTGGCCTGAACTTAAGGTAAGAAAGTGCTTTTATTTCTCAGCTTATCTTTTCTTTTTAAAGGGTCAGACTGCCACTATTTTATTCTTATATTATCGGCAGAAATGTCGACGCAAAGACAAAAAGAAGAAGAAAATGATGAAGTATTGTGTCTAGATGCAGCATGCTTGTACATATTGCCATGCAAAAACTATTAAAATCACAGAAAAGAGCCTTGTTGTTGCATTGTGTGATATCTTTCTTCATTACATTGAGCACGGCCAGTGCAATTATTCACCTCTTCTGAATTGCAAACCCGTGAAACCACATGATGCAATTGTGGAGTTGTTCTAAACTAAACTACATTTGCAATGTGTTTTGTCATGAAGGAATATGTCATGCAGTGCAAGAATACGGCTTTTTTAGTTTAGACATAAAGGTTGCAGTTACGATATTACAATACATTATATAAATAATGTTAGAACAAATAGAGTAATGACTGCTTTAGATAGGAGAAATTATTGGTATTTTTCTCAAATCCTTTGTGGGTAAAGTGTGGCTTTGACAGCTAAATTGTAAACGACTGCACAGAGGACAATGGCCGAGTGGTTGCACAACACTCTTTAGTAGTACTGGAGGATTACATAATGTCGGATTACGCCATCTACACGCGATCAGTTGTAACGTTGCTTTTTGTAGCAGCTTAATTGGGCTTTGAGGTTGGTAGTCGATGGGGATGTCACCTGCAGGGGTCAACTGCTGCCTCTGTCACTTTTTTTGCCGATCAATGGTAGAGGTCGGACTGTGACAGGTCTGAAAATGGCTGGCAACGTGTCTGGCTAGGTTTCACATCAATGCTATTGTGCATTCTTGTTAGAATAGTACTACTTATCAATCAACGCTGATCAATGTACTTGATCAGTGTATTTTTTTGTCTGAAATTTAAAAGGGCTATCTGTAGAGCACTAAAACAGACTGGTATCTAATAGTGTGGAGTAAAGCTTGTATTGTATCTGAAACTAATTCAGTTAGTTATTGCAGGTTATTCAGTAATATATCATCAGAAACGAAGACAGGGTTGGATAATGAGTTGCAACTCTAGATTCATGATTATTAAAATCCAACACAAGTTGTTGTCACTGTTATGCAAGAACAACACGTTAACAACACAAATTAAATGTTTATTTAATAAGATAAGCATGGGCACTGTGGTTTATTTTGAGGCAATCTTGAGGCAATTTTTTTTAATTCAAAAAATACGTATTTGTGACATGTTTTTAAAATGTGCCTGCTTTAGAAACAAATTGTCTTGGGGCTAAGTACCACAAACAGGCTGCGGAAATCAGAGAGTATTAAGAGATGGACTAAGGCTTGATGGTTTTCATCTTTTCATGGAATTAGTTAACAGTAAGACAAATATGGAATAGTTAGAGCTATGCATCAATGTCTACAGGAATAACAGTGATGCTACATTTCCTCAATCATTTACTTAGGGAACACACAAAAAGCAAACATCTGAAACAATAATTGCCTGCACAACTGCTGTTTTCTACTTCTATATTGTATTTAATTTTTTTACTTCTATATTTTATTAGACTTTTTATAGGAAACACTGATGAGGATTGTAGAGAATGACCAAAAAGCTCCTGATTTGGACATTTGCAAGCTGCAAAATGTGAATGAGCAGGTTTGTGGGTGAGTTATATGAAAATTATATGAGACGCATTGGATAAAAAAACCTAAAAATAAAATAAAGAAGTACTCAAACTTCCTAACCAAACACTGAAATGAAATGTAAGCATGTGCATTTATATATGAGTGTGAAAGTCTAATGACGATAATCTCAAACTGGAATTGCTTTTGCTGTATTTGTATCATATTTGCTTTGTGGGACAGGTGAAAGTCGCAGCGCAGTAAACACACAGTGTTGGGAAGAGCATCACAATGAACGTGACAGAAGTCTACATGGGAATAGCGAACATCTCCACCCAGGGAAATGTCTCTGGTAATGGCAGCATGGGTGTCCTGAGCATCCCCCCCTCCCTAAACAAAGCCCTTAATATATTCACCATCATCATCCTCTTCATCACCATGATTTCCCTTGGCTGTACGATGGAGATTTCCAAAATCAAGACCCATCTCCTCAAGCCTAAAGGAGTAGCCATTGCACTGGTGGCCCAGTTTGGCGTCATGCCCCTGACTGCTTTCTCTCTAGCCAAAATGCTACAGATGGATCCCGTCAAGGCTGTGACTGTGCTCATCTGTGGCTGCTGCCCAGGGGGAAGCTTATCAAACATTTTCTCCCTGGCCATTAAGGGTGACATGAACCTCAGGTAAACCCCCCCCCGTTGATGTATTGATTCCTGACAGAAATGTTCCATTTGAGACGTTTACATTTCTGGCAGGTCGGTCTACTAATGTTTCTCCTCTCTCTGACACCCTCCCAGCATCGTGATGACCACTTGCTCCTGTATCGCGGCACTGGTGTTGATGCCTTTGCTGCTCTATATCTACTCCCAAGGCTTCACCGGTCTAAAGAATGCTGTGCCATACGTCGGCATCATCTCCGCTCTCACGTTCACCTTGGTGCCTTGTGCCATTGGCATCGGCATTAATCACTACAAACCAAACTACTCGTCAGTCGTCAAAAAAGTGAGACTCCTGAAATGTGCCACACACAAACGTAATCTGTTATAGACAGCAGGCATTTTGACTTGTGATACCTCCACATGATATTTGCCAAATTTGGAAGTAGGGAAAAAGAGAGAAGATTCATGCTTTAATGCTGAGATTCAAGTACCATTAGAGGAGAAAAATTAACGCTTGTAACATATGTTTTCACTTCCTCGACAGGTTGGCCTCAGCATCCTGATAATCTCCGGCATCATAGTGCTCAGCCTGTCTGCTTTGGTCGTCAAAGACATTATATGGATGGTCCTCACACCCGATGTTCTGGTCGTGGCTGCACTGATGCCACTGATTGGCTTTATGCTGGGATACATCATGTCTTTCATATGCAGACTCAGTCCACAGTAAGTGTATACACGCTAGATGTGCGGTACCTTTCTTTGAGTTGCTTTCTTGATTTTGTTCAATTTAAGGATTTTTTTTGGTGGCCTGAAGAGGTGAAAATATCAAGTAGGCTATTTCATCCTATATAGGACTGACCCCCGGGGTTATCATTTTGTAAAACGGAATATTTTGTTTATTGTTCGCTTTAGTCTCGTGTGATCAGTTTAATCATGGGACCTCCTAGAGGACTGACCCCCAGGTTGGGAACCAGTAGTGTTTTAATAGTACTGAGTGAGTCCTGATACTGAAATTAAGAACATTGAGAAAAGAAGTTTGTCTTTGGAGTTCAATCATCATACAGAGTGCAACGCAGTCTGAGGGAGGACGAACACAGAGTGCAGGGTGTGTACAACTTATAAAGGAGCAGTGCACAAGGGCGGGGGGTAGGATGAGTCCTCACTAAGACATCTGGACAACAGTTTCTGACCATTCTATGGTTAAATATTGAATGGTAAACTATCTGCACTCTTATCTAAGCTGAGCAGAAATACCATATTTGGTTTTGTCCTTGAGTAAGGCGCGCACACACACAGATATATTACTACTTGAGAGGACCCTCACTGACCATGTCCGACTTTTGTTAACCTTGTTTATAACTGGGAGTCCTAACACATTGAAGTTTTATCTCACTATACAAAAAGGGTCAAAACACTGAGCGGTCTTACAATAAAAACAGGTAAATAAGTCACAGAGGAAATTTACCATCACACTTAAGTAGCATTTTACTGTCATGCATTTTTACTTTTGTGTTTAATCTACAACTGTATCATATTTTATAAAGTCATATAGTAATTACAAGCTGTATATATATATATATATATATATATATATATATATATATATATATATATAAAATTATAAATGAAATGTAATTTTTTAAGTAATAGTTTTTCCATATTCCATATTTTTTTCTAGTAGCCATAAAATTGGTGCATTATCAAAAGTGATGACAAATCACTCTCCTCTCTTTAGATGTAGCAGAACAGTCTCCATGGAAACGGGTTGTCAAAACATCCAGCTGTGCGTTACCATCCTAAAAGTGGCCTTTCCCCCTCAAGTCATCGGAACCATGTTTCTCTTCCCTCTGGTATACTACATATTCCAGTGTACCGAGGCCCTCATCCTGACCCTGTGCTTCAGATGTTACCAAGCATTCAAGCCACCGGCTGAGGGTAAATGTCACAGCTGCCTGTGTGTTGTTGCAGAGCGAGGCTGGGAGGAGGGCCGGAGGAGTGAGACGAGCACATGCACTATATTCTCCACACAAATTGTAGCCGGAGAGCAACGAAAGCAGAAGTCTAACATCTCCCTTCTCTTACACAGACGGTGTTGATATTAAACAGGAGGTGGTGAAACAGCCATGACTGTTTCACAGATGTCAACCCAGCCCGTGCTGGAGAGGGAAACCGAGATGAGCTGCGTCGTAGCTGCCGAGGACGCAGCGATTCACTGCCCTCACTGTCTCCACATTCTTCACTTCGGCCTGTGATACTGAAGGAAAGACTGCGGAAGCATGTGCAACAACTCATACTTTTATTATTGTTTACTTAATCAATTCTATGTAATGTTAACTACGGGTAGTGCCTGCTAGCCAAATAATGAAGAATCATGACATTTTGTATTTATATTTTTTCTATTTTGAAAATCTGCTGTTTTACTGAAATCTGCTAATTGTATGACTGACACAGTGAGAATGAAAGCGTTTATAAAACATATTGACGTGCCATTTGCTCTTTTTAGACTGTAAGCTAAAATCAGACCAAAGACAGATCTCAGATCTTCCAAAGATGTGAAAAGCCGAATAAAAAAAAGAAGGAAACAGCCAATTTGGACATCTTAAATAATATTTAATCAAAATGGGTGTATGTTATATACAGACTAAACTTAAAACTTTTTTTTTTTTTTACATATATTAAAAAAAAAAATCTTCACAAAACACAAAAGCACTCCTCAGTCTAAAAGCAAATTCAATGGAGAGTCAAACAAAGACATCACACTGATCTGTACACTCGCTCATATTAATAGCGTCACATACAACGTGCCTGCAGCAGAACCAAAACTGAAGCGGCGAACTGAAAAGGCGTACTTTCTTTCTTTCATTTTTTTACGTTGTGGACGCATCAAAAGAAGCCATGGCTGATCAACAGCGCTCTGGTTACAAGTAAATTAAATAAAACATCTTAGTTCCCCGTTTACACTTTAAACATTACATTTATTTTACAAGCAGCCTGAATAAATTAAGAGAATAATTATTTTCTGGTGTACAAGTGATGTGTCTGACAAAGCCACACATTAGATCACTAAGCAGTGGACGCTTTTAACCGACATTCATTTTTAAAACTCCGTATTTTACATATTATAGATACCTGTGCATAGAAGTGGAAAGCTAAGGCCATTGAGGACAAGGGTATGAAGAGAAGACATCTGAACACTTACCGAGAGTGAAATGTGTCAAATGCAGACCTGAATCGTCTCTGAAAATGTTTGCCCTCAATCCGATGAATAAAACACAGCAAAGGGAATCTTGGGTGGACAAGCAGCCTTAAACTGTACAGTGGCATCTGGAATGACGCGAGTAATGATCAACAACATCTTAAATAAATCATTTATAAATCACAACAAATCTTTGAGGGACAATAACTGTAAGTGTGCATGACTTGGACAACGAGCTAGACTACCTGGACTTCATGCATCTTTGCTGATGTGCGTCTCAAATGGTGCGATATGTGGTTCAAGAAAAGTAACAGTGACCGAGACACTGACGAGATTATTAGCTCTCAAAATGAGTTTGCAGCTTTGAAGCCTTTAAGACATACTCCTGCAGGTGGTGCCTGTTCTTTCTGGTTTTTGTTCTACATTTTCAAACCGAGCTTCAGACGTTGGACATACATACATCGTGTAGGAATTCCTATAAAAAAAAAAAAAAAAAAAAAAAAAATGTATGCATGTAATGTACATGTGAATCCCGTCTCTGTTCTCCTTTGGGATGGACCGAGGAACTATTCCGAGTAACCCACAGCTTCACTCAGAGCCTCGTCTGTGTTGACAGCTGTGTTGACAAACTCTCGAGAGGCATTCCCCGCTCACCAGTACAGGTCAGTAGCAACGCTGGTTGTCTTAGGGAGTCCAAAGGCTGCTGCATTGTTCAGGCCTCCTTCAGCAATGGCATATCTGAAGAGAACATCTTTCATCAGTACAAAGTGTGGATCTTTAAGTAAAAACAGTGTGTTGGACTGTGTTGTGTTTACCATCAGAGTAGTCCATCTCAGAGTCCAGAGACAGGCTGTGTTGGTCGCTGCCTGCAGACGGCCTTCTTTGTGAGGGTGAAGGAGCGGCAGCGCCTGCATGCTCTGGAACCCAGGTAGAGGAGGAGGGTGAGGAGGAGGATGAGGGCGATGGCACAGGGTGCACGACAGCCATCGCCGACTGCTGCTGTTTGAGGGATGAATGCCTAGAGGGGCCAGCCTCTGGCACTGTGGCATGCTGACCCTCGGACAGCACTATCTGGACCCGAGACTCAGAGCTGAGAGGCGAGGCTGAGGCCCCGCGAGCATTCACAGCCTCCTCATACGAGGGCAGAGACACCTGGACTCCTTCCACCATGATTGACACGGGCTGGCCGGACACACCCTGATCCCGTCTAGGTGTGGAGAACCAGAAGAAAGTTAAGAATCGGTCAACTTGTTACTTGTTACGACTACTCTCCTTTTTAAGAGCCTTCAGTGTTTTGAGGGCAGACTCACCGATGGAGGGACTTGAGTTTTGGCTGCAGAAGTACAAACAGCACCACCAGGAGCAGGATCAGGGCCACCGAGCTGGCTGTGGATGCCACTATGGACAAGGCGGGCATCCCTAATGGTAAAGTTGGAGTGCGGTCTGTGAGACAGACAGCAATTGACAGTTAACAATGCAGAACTTACTGTGATTATCCAATTGTTCAAATGTGTGATCGACCGTTTACCTCGCTCCATGAGGCAGCTGAGCTTCATTTGGCTGTCCCACTCTCCGTACTGACAGGTAAGGTATTTGTAGTCTCCCTTCAGAACATAGCCTTCCTCACAGAAATATTCAACCACAGTGCCATGAGAGAGTCTTTGGCATGGGGCGGGGTGGCAGGTGTAGCCCCCATTCTCTGGCTGAAATGGAGGCTGGCATACTGTCCACGGAAAGACAGGAAAACAATGAATGCATGAACTCTAATGTACAAGAACGACATGCAGTGCTGTCCACTTTCCCATTCCTGTTTATTCTTCTGTTCAACCTCGACATGCTTCCTACTAGCTCAAATTATGAAAAACTAAATATCTTGAGGTTTGTCTTTACCGTCGCTGCGTATACAGCGAGGAGGTTCAGAGGACCAGTGTCCCAGTGTGGAGCAGGTGAGGCTGCCGGGTCCGTCTGGCAGGTAACCAGGGTCACAGCGGTACTCCAGTACTGTTCCCACAGGGAACGAGCTCCTGTTAGTGTCGGTCAGATTAGTTGAGCCATGCTGCACGGTAGAGGGTCTTATACAACCTGAAAAAAATAGAAAAAGTCAAAAATACAGTTAATAACTAATACAGGAAGTCTGGCTTACTGTCCATTGAAAGAAAGGGAACCAATAAATACATAGATTCTAGTGTTGTATGGTGTGTCGCCATGTCTCACCGTGGTGTACCTGTTAGTAATAAAAACGTTCTTCGTCTCTATTCAAGGATATTCTTAGTATGCTACAATCTGGGCAGCGTGTTGGTCATAATATGTCCATTCCTGTTATTGCAGTTGCTGGATGTTGATTTTAGACACCAACGTGTCTCCGACCTCTTGTGGAGTTGGTTTGTGTGATCAGAGCCCCAATACGTCTCTGACGGCATTTTACAGGAAGACTTCAACTTGTTTTTGAATAAATCCACATCCATGTTATTAATGTAAACAAACTGTAGGTTTTAAGAACAGATGTTTGAAATAAAAACAGAAGATACTTAGAGTAGGTTTAAAAATGAACTACATGTTGACAACTGAATCAACATAACAAATAAAGAATCTCAAACTATAACACACATAAAGCCGATCATATCTGTTCATTCAGGTTACAGCACATGTTGGTACCAGGTGTTAAGAGGGTCAGAAGTGTAGACGGTACTATGAGGAGGTTTGTCTTTACCGTCACTGCGTATACAGCGAGGAGGTTCAGAGGTCCAGCGTCCCAGCGTGGTGCAGGTGAGGAAGCTGGGTCCCACTGGCAGGAAACCACGGTCACAGCTGTACTGCAGCACGGTGGCCACAGGGAACAAGCTCCTATTGGTGTCTGTCAGATTAGTTGAGCCATGCTGCACGGTAGAGGGTCTTATACAACCTGAAAAAAGAGAAAACAGTCAAAAGTACCATTAATATCTTTAGTTTTCATTATAAATGTAGGTTTTGTTTGTATAGGACATTTATGTTTACGAGTTAAAAATAGAACAAGAAATGTAACAACAAATGTAATGAATTTAAAGAAAAGATGATTTGTTTTGAAGAAAGATTAAATGAAGACGGTACAAAACGTGGACTAATTTGCACTGTTTTGCTGACAGGTGAGCGTTTAAGACCCATGTGTTGACCTATTTCTACATCCGAGTTTGAGGACTGACCCACCTTGGCTAACACAACTGATCTGCATGGGGCCGTCCCACTGTCCATCCTGACAGGTCAGGTAGTTGTAGTCCCCACTGAGAACGAAGCGCTCATCACAGAAGAACTCAATCACAGTGCCATGGGAAAACATCCGGCAGGGGGATGGGTGGCAGGTGTAGCCCCCATTTTCGGGTTTGGAGAGGGGTAAGCATGCTGATGGGAAAAAGATTCAACACGCATGAAAGTACTAGCCTTATTTTAAGTGTTTTGTGTTGTTTTTAGTTTATATATAAGCAAAATGAGCAAAAAATCATTATAGAGACAAAAGCGACCAAAATTAAACGTGAAAATAAATATGTTTTTACTTATGAAAGAAGGATTTTAAAATCAGTTTAGCTGCTCACAACAGTCACTCCTCATTACTTAACAAATCGGACAAGATAATCGTGGACAAAATATCTTATCTTACCACCACTGCGTATACAATGAGGAGGTTCAGAGGTCCAGCGTCCCAGCGTGGTGCAGGTGAGGATGCTGGGTCCGTCCGGCAGGTAACCAGGGTCGCAGCTGTACTGCAGCACTGTGCCCACAGGGAACGAGCCCCTGTTGGTTTCTGTGAGGTTTACCCAGCTATTCTGGACCATATACAGCCTCGCACATCCTGGGAAGAGAAGACCAAAAAAAAGAAAAAACTAATTCTGTGAAACTGCTCAGGTTTTCAGAAGAATTAATACAAATATTTTGAGCGTGGTTTGATACACGTGTTACCCAGACACAGAACGGCCCATGGTAAACATCTGAAAGTCTTTGCAGTGGCACCACATGTGCCCAGAAAATGTCATGGCAATGAGATGCATTGTCATGGAGCAAACAAACTGTATTTGATGTGGATTGGCGGTGTCAAGGTGGAAATCCGATTTGCTTTTAATGTATTCCACAACTATAAAGCTTTAAAAGTAGTTCATTATATAGTTACATTAGATATTAGTCATAATAAGTATAGTAAACCATACCAAAAAAAGAACACATAAATGACAATGATATCAGCTAATTATAGGGCTGTTTATTAGGGCTGTACTCTTAATGATGATAAATCTGATAGGATAATCTGGCATATGTCTAAATCAATGTTAGGAGGCAGTTGATTAAGTCTCCCCTGTGTAGTAGAACGATGCATCCCGTCGTTGCCTTGACATTCACCCATTTGGTCTGTATTCTAAGGTGATTTAAAAATATTTCTTCAACAAAGAAATTAAAGCTTAATGTAATACGGACATAACACATTGTGTTTTGTATTGTAAGAGTGTGCAACCATACACGTTGCCTCTTACCTGATCCTTGCACCCTGGACACTGCAGTCAGTGTCAGCAGCAACAAAAAGAACCGCTCAGTGGCTGAGGTGTGGGCCCAAAAGGCTTTTGATATTGACTCTATCATTCCATTGCACATCTTCCCCCGCAGAGTCAACTCAACCTGGTATGATGAGAAAATATGATCAGAAAAGGGTATACATACATCACGATGAAAAAGCAATCCCAGTAGCCTCGATCATAGGCTGTCACCTGCCTGACGCAGGTACTCTGCAGAGCTTGGGCAGCTGCCAATGAAATGGGTGCGATTGTGGAACAGGAGCACAATGACAGTACTGAGAAAAAACCCACTAGCAATAATGGCATAATCATTTCGCAAGCTAGCGGATATGACAAACCAATTCATCTCTTTAACGCCGTTGATCGTGTCAGCGAAGTAACGACTTTAGCTAATTATACCTCCCACATATAACATATAACTCTGGTTCTAATTATCTGATCCAGTGGCTACACACCCATTTTCTGTTTAACCTATTAGCTATGATAGCTACATTTGATAGCGTTACAGAACAAAACAAAATATATCCCAGTTACATACTCAGTGTAAGTTAGTATAGATGGTTGATCTATAGCAACCGAGTTACCACCAAGTAAATATTAATATCCAATAGAGCACATCTTAGCTGGTTTTAATCTTTAAGTTAGCTACCTGGGATAATCAATAGTAGCTTTCTTGGTTTGCTAACGCTAGCTAAACATGAAAATAGCGTTACCCACCTCAAAACACTACCTCGAATCCTCCACCCTCGCTTTCTCACACTGTAGACATGTATCAATACCTCAGCTACGTCGACGACATTTAAAGTTACTGCCGAAATGACGATAATATGATATAACGAGCCGAGGGGCACTGCTACAGCTAACCGCTAGATAGCTCTCTATTGGATAGCTTGTTACCTGCTACGCTAGCTAGCTGCATCGATCGAGGCACCAGCTGCGCCGCCTCGATTTCGTCCAGTGGCCATAGTAACTGCGGTCAGGTCAGCAGACACTCGGATCTCCGTGGTCAACCCAGCAGACACTTAAATTTGAGTGCGCCTATATGCTGAAATTCACGGTAAACGCATTCATACGGCACAGATCGGGGACAACATCCGGTTTCCAGACAACATCCGGTTTCCAAAATTGTATGTCAACTAATTCGTATATACAAATTGCATTTGTGAAAATAAGATTAAATGAATTATATTAACATTAAGTACAAAACATGTTACCTGCATCTCGTGAGTTAAAGGGAAAATACAACTAAATTGTGTCTTTATTCTTTGATTTGAGGGTTGCTGAAAGATAATGAAATTAATAGTATCTGACTTACTGATATGTATGTGTTCAGGACATTCCTGACCACATCCAAAAAAAAAATCAAACATCTTAACTGTACCAATTAAGATATTGTATGAAGTACAAACTGTGAACTGAAATTGCACCTTCAAATAGCTAATTTCTGAAATGTTTAAGGTGCTATGAAAATAGTATTGTCAATATTTCCATACAATGACTGATGTATATGTGTTCAGGACATCTTTCACTCCAGACAGACTGAAAATCAGACATTTTTACTGTACCAATTAAGAGATATTTCAAAGTAAAAGTCTTACTTTTGTATTGAGAAACAGGTACATTTCTGAATGTTTGAAGTGTTATAAAGAGTATTTTCTCAATAATTCCAAACAATGACTGATGTATATGGGTTCAGGGCATTGTTGACTCCACCCATACTGAAAATCAGACATTTTTACTATTTAAGATTAGATTTTAGAGGAAATGATGCATAGTTACAAAATCATTTCACGACAGGTTAATAGCAGACCACCTCAAGGTGTCACTCAGAGAGAACCAGGACATTCTGATGTTGCATTTGAAAATTAAAGCCCTTCAAAATCTCATTCATGAGCTAACTTAAAATCACATTCATGAGACAAATATTCAGAAATGTACCCGTTTCTCTTTACAAATGTATGATGTATGAACACTTCAAATATTTATAATAATAATAATAATAATAATAATATAATATAATATTATTAGATGTTTTCTCAGTACAAATGTATGACTTTTACTTTGAAATATCTCTTAATTGGTACAGTAAAAATGTCTGATTTTCAGTATGGGTGGAGTAAACGAAATCTTGAACACATATACATCAGTCATTGTATGGAAATATTGACAAGAATATTTTTATAGCACCTTAAACATTTCAGAAATTAGCTATTTGAAGGTACAATTTCAGTTCAGTTTGTACTTCATAAATTATCTTAATTGGTACATTTAAAATGTTTGGCTTTTGTTTGGATGCGGTCAGAAATGTCCTAAACACATACATATCAGTCAGTCAGATATTAGTCATTTAATTATCTTTCCAGCAACCCTCAAATCAAAGAATAAAGACACAATGTAGTTGTAGTTTCCCTTTAACTCACGAGATGCAGGTAACATGTTTTATAGTTCATGTAAATATAATTCATTTAATCTTATTTCCACATAATGCAATTTGTATATACGCTTAGTTGACATCTTATTATGGAAACCGGATGTTGTCTCACGTAATTCTTTCCCGCTTAGTTGTCATCTTATTTTAAAAGCCGGATGTTGTCTCACGTTAATCCCTCCGCTAACTTTGCAAAATCCTTCGCTCGCTCCAGATCTGTTCCGTTTGAATGCATTTACCGTAATTACCGTGAATTGCAGCATATAGGTGCACTACATTTCAAGTATCTGCTGAGTCGACCACGGAGATCTGAGTGTCTGCTGAGTTCACTGCGGTCCACAGTAACAAATGCACATTTCCATAGTTACAACATCCGGGAGTGTTTGCGTCTATAGTTACCAAGAAATAGGCGGACAAACAGTGGGATTTTTCTGTTGACAAGTGGCTTTACTTAGCCAACAATTCACAATATGGAAATGATCAAAGGTAATTTAGAAGACATTTCTCGCCCTGCATCGAGTGAGCAGACGGGTAGCCGTGTGTCCAGCGTGTCATTGTCACATAGTGACAGAATTGGTGCTACAACTCCATTTTCCCTTGTTGTGTTGACCAAAGATGCTGCTGATATTCAGGTAATTAAAAGACGATGCATTGACATTACAATATGCTTTTTGACATACACCATTGGATAATTTACTTAACTTCAGTAAACAATTCCCTTTAGAGCCAGATGAGCTCTGAAGGAGCTACAATCAACTCCTCAGCCAGAGGTCCTGACAGAAGTAAGTGTTCTAATGGAGTAGCCGTACACAGGATCCATTCTTTTATTAAGTTACCTCACACTATTGTGCATCATTTAGGCCAGTGTTCCAGTGAAGGTACCGATGAAGAGAATGAAGATTCCAAACTACAGAGAGCTATTGAGGAAATGAGACGACTTGATGAAATGCTGTCTGCAAAGATCTGCATAGAAAAGGAAGTCAGGCGTCAAAGGAAAGAACTTCAAGCAAAACTCTGGCAACAGTTCCTGGTAGACACAGTCGTTGCATTCACTCCACTTACATTACCAGTCCACTATACCAGTACTGTTTAAGCAGGTAGTCACTCTTATCACGTATGGTGTGATGTTATATTGTTTATTTTTCTGCAGCAGAATAAACCCGAAGGTCACTGTGAATGTGCCCATGAAGCAATGAACACAAGGTTGTTTTTGGCTCTGGAAGCACCCGCTGGTAAGCCTATAGGCAACAGCACACAGAAGAGCAAAAGTGCTGAATTTATAGGCTTCATGCAGTTACTGTGTGACACCTTAAATATGTTCTTTTTTTTTTATCTTAAAAGGGACAGAAGAGGAGGACGACTTTGTGCCTGTGTTTGAAACTCAAGTTCTCGACTGTGAGCACAAAAGAGACGGGCAATACTTGGAGCAAAGTTAGTTAGCGCGAATCAAACACAAAAGAAAAAGCAGCATACGTTTTTCCATATTACAATCGTGGGTCTTAAAATATATGCTCTCAGTTGTACTGCCTAGATTGTGCACTTGATGGCGTCATGACTTCATGGAACTTATAGATGTTGTTTTTCTGAGGCAGATAATAAGTGCACTAACTCAATTTTCCAGAAATGAATGCATAACAGTTTGCCCGCTTATGAAACATTAACTAATCAAGATCTTGTAGCTTTTTATGATATTGATCCCCGAAGGAAAAAAAAACAGCAGCACAGTAACTGTTTCTCTGTTTAGAGACATTTCGGCAGGCTGGCTGCTTCTTATCACAGTCTTCACCCCCACGGTGCTGCCTTGCAGGGCTATTACTAGAATAGTACATTTTTATTTACAATACACTACAAATTTTTTTTTTAATTCCACACTTTATTCAAGAAGATCAGATGATGGAATAAGAACTCATGGTTGACTCTCATAGAATTTCTGTGTTGTTTGATTGTTATTATTATAAGAGCTTAAAGTGTGGCTTGCCTGACAGGTGAAAAGAAGCCAGGCAGCTGGACAGAGTCTTCTGAACTAAGCCGTGAGGACACTGGGGAAGAGCACTTTGAAGGCAGCCAGTGGGGAGCTTCCAAAAGCAAGAAAAAACAGAAAGACTTTGTCAAGAGAAACATTGAGGTATGTCAAAGTTCACCTTGGGCCAAATGCAGTGCTGGGGTATATCTCGCATGACTTAGAGCAAATCTCTTGACTGTTAGTTTTTCCAGTGAAGAAAATATTTGTCTCTGGTTCAAGAGAAAGATTTATTTAAAGCCTAGTAGGGCACTGCTGAAAATAATAGAAATGTTGTGCAAATAATGATTTGATCTATGAAGGATGAACACTGACCCCTTTCTTTGTTTCCTCAAATGCAATAGCTAGTGATTGGTGAAGGGGACCAAGCTCTTTTGACTCAGGCGGAGAAAGAGCATCTGTCCGAGCTCCTGCAAGGAGTAGACGAAGAGGAAGAGGACAGTGCCAGGGGCGCAGACAGCGAGGTATAGGCTGACATGAAACCCAAACAGACAACATATGCTGTAGGATGAGTCTATCTTTTTTCAAGTTCCTTAATACTTCCCCCTCATGTCCAAAAGTCTTATGGGGAGCAGCGGATAATCCCATCCACTGCTCCTGCCAAGGTTTTGATCGAATATTTACATTGGTAGCATAGAACGTTAATTATAAAGCAAATATTGAATCCAGTGTCACCAATCTTAGCATGAATAAAATGTTTCTTCCATGGTCTTATTTGTTAGAACATTAGGTGACTCAACCAGACCCTCAGAACTGCACATAAAGCAGTAGTAGAGGTCGGACATCAATGTTTTGATGACTGCTTGGAATCTCAGGAGGCCTCTGGGCAGAAGATTATGACACGTCAAAGCAGTTCAGATTACAAACCAGATGTCAAGTGCCTTATGCAGTTCACGGATTGCTGCATGTTACGGCTTGATTATGGTTGTCATAACAATTCCCTCTGTGGTGTTTATTTGAAATTCAGAGGCCAGGATCTTTCTTATCGCCCTAATATAAGCTACAGTGGCACTCATAGAAAGAGAGTGCTGATAGAGCTTAAAGGCAAAGAGACTGAGGCCTCTTGTATATCTGATGATTCATCTGTGACCCCGTGCCACCTAGAGCAGTAGACCATTTCACTCGGAACCCACTGACACCATCTTAATCTTTCAAAAAGTATATATTTAAAGTTGAAATTTGCTTTTATAGCTCTTTTGGCAGCTGTGAGACCAGGTTGAAGTCTGATGGTATGAGGCCTGTTGGGAACATACTTACCTTTCACACACGGATCTATTTAGCTTGACCCTGACAGTTCTGCATCCGTGGGACAGCTTGCCAGAGTTTTTCTTTTTCATGTCTCGCTGCTCTATTTATGATGTTTGCCTTGACTCTTAGAACAATACTGCAGTAATTGTGGTGGCAGATACCAAACTGAAGGGAGCGCAGATGCTCTGGGTTTTTTTTTTATTGGAAGGAGGAAGACTTCCTGTTATTGCGAGGCATGCTATTATGAATTGCCATAACGGAGCAAGCACATTATTCATGTCACCAGGACTTTGATCCGTCTTTATTTCTGAGGACTTCACTCAGTTCTTGGCAGAATCCCCCTGCCAAGAATTGCTGCTGCTCAATGTTTGCCTCACACACTTTTTTTTATGTTACCGACTCTCGTCCTAACAAGTTCCACAGTTTTTTGTGGTAACCCAAGGAAGTAAATCAACAGCAGTCAGTAATCACGTAACATTTCGGTGCTGCACTAGTGGATGTAATCTCTTGCTTTATCAATGGAAAAGTTTGACATGTGTAATACGCTGATTTGACTTCTTGTCGAGAGTTGATGCAAAGATCGATCCCTCGATTTCTCACGCTAAATACGACGCTAGAGCCAGGGGATGATTAGCTTACTCTAGCTTAGCATAAAGACTGAAAACAGGGAAACAGCCAGCCTGGCTCTGTCCAAAGGTAACACAATACTTATACCGTATTTAATCTGTAAAAAATAGCAAGTTGTTGTTTGGCTGACAGACCGAGGCTATAGCTGTTCTCCCTGTTTCCAGTCTTTCTGCTGAGCTAAACTAACCGGCTGCAGCTTCATATTTACTGCACAAATGATTAGTATCAGCGTTCTCATCCAACTCTCAGCAAGAAAGAATGTAACAGTATGTCGCAAAATGTCAAACTATTCATTTTAAGATGAAAAGAAAAAACGTGCTTGTTTCTTCTTAATAATCTAATGTTTTACATATGGTCTGTGACTCCCTGTGTCCCATTATAAATAAATAAATAAAAAAGCCTGTCTGAGGTCTGGGATTGAGCTCGTCTGCCATATCCAAGTGAACCACTGCAATGGTTAAACACACCAGAGAAAGCTGGTTTACAATAGATCTGCGAACATAAAACACCAATAAATCTCATAAGAATTTGTTGATCTCATTTGTTAAAATGTTGGCCCGGTGTGGTGCTCCACCTAGTTGATGGAACCCTGTGCGTTTGCTGTTTTCTCCTGCCAGTTTTCCTCTGCTCCCTCCTCAGAAGTCACACATGTGTCGTTTGCAGAGTTGTGATCTTCTTTGGCATTAAAACGCTTACTGCAAGATCTTATCTCACCGCTGGGCTGCGATGAGCTCACCACCCGCCCACTGTTTCACATAAGACATAAGGATTTAAAGTTCAAAGTTTTGGCATTTGACTAGAAGAGTGGATCAGCACCTTGTTCACCCTCCAGAAGTGAATACCAAGTGCGGGAGTTAGACTTGTACCCATTCCCTGTTCCAGACATCACCGTCACAAAGTTGCTAAATAGGCAATAGTTAATGTATATCAGTCCTCTATTAAGGCTGCCACTAAATGAGGCAGGCTTATAACCCAGTGGGCCATGACTTATTTCGGCACTGATTGTCTTCCAGGAGGACATGTGGGCCGTGTCAGTGCTGACAGGTCTGGGTTACACCCCGGAGCTATCTGACCTGGAGCAGCTGACTGACGTCGACTCCAAAATTCGCCTTCTCCTTCCTGTCGAAGAACTTCTCACAGTGCAAAGCTCATATACAAACCTTAGCATGTGCCAGGTACGTATCCACACAGCACTACTGTCTGCATTACAACAGCAATGGGTTTATACAGAGCACCGTAAACCCCCCCCAGACACCATCCAAGACTGCACTGAGGCGAGGTCATTATGTCTTATTACAAGCTCAGTATGGCATCGATGGCAACCTCTTGTAAAATCCTTTGTTACTGACACTAAGGGAGTCACTCCCTTATTCATTAGTGGGGGAAACAGAATTATGTAAGCTGCTCTTACTCGGAACTGAGGGTTGCCTCACTTTTCCACGTTTCCATATGAAGGCCGTACAAAGCCTCTGGTGCATTATTTGCTCCTTGTAAATTGAATGTAAATATTTTGCACTGACTATTGTTTTATTATTACAACTATTATTTTCTATATGAGCAATGACAAAAACAAAAAGTCTCTACTATCACACCCGATCGCTCATTTATTCTCTTGTTCTTTGTGATTCATAACATGTTGTCAGTTCTCTGACTGGCCTCCCTGATGCTCAAGCCTTTAAATACTTACATATGTCTGAGTTTAGAGTGTAATCTATACATTGCTACCACATCAGATAGTGGAGGACCAACTTAACAGTTATATGTAACTGTAAATGTTTTCCATGCCTTGGTCCTAGGTTCGGGCCCGCTCCTAGACGTGAGCTCAGTTAGTTATCTCAGGACCTTATCTCACTACATTTTAAAGGCCAGATGGCATGTGCATCATTTGCATAGCCTGTCAATGGAACATTTTTTGTTTTTTGAAGTCATAAAAACTTTACAACGCAGTTTTGTGAACCCTAGGTGCCATTGTCCACGAGCACTACTGGATGTAGACAAGGAAATACTTCAGTACTTGAATCCCAGTGCTGGAATAGCTCATGATCTATTTCACAATGTCCGGTATTTATGTTGCTGCCCTAATTATTTCCCAATTTCTCACTTCAAATTTGCTCACTTATTCACCCAATGTTGTAACGAAATGGCAGAAAAACAAAGCTTAAAATTTGAAGTTGAGGTAATTTATGATGTGACCTCCAGCTGTCTGTTGAGATGATATGGATTCTCAATATCCAAGCTGGATGTAGCCTCAAAATAAGATCAAATAGGTTTGATTTTGATGCGACGTTTGGAGCTGAAATGAATCGAGTAATCAGATTGACAGAGAATTCAACGCCAAATATTTTGATAATCGATGAATCGTAAGTCATTCTTCTCCCTTGTGCTCTCCCACACGTGATGTAGAGGGGATTTCAGCCAAATAGTACAAAACTGTGTGATTACTGGGCAGATGGATGCATTACTTTGTGTAACCTGCTTCCCTCCCTTCCCACCCTTTAATCATCTTGCCTGGTTAAAAGAGTTTTGGAGAAAGTCAAACTCCCCATCATCCATCCATCACCTGCTCTTCATTAGTGCTGACATGCCTAATGCAAGCATTCCTTTTCAAATGATGTAAAACATGAAACAATTACACGACACTTCTGTCTCTGAAGTTACCGTTAGCAGATGATTCACCATCAGACGACGAAGCATTCAAAATTCACAGTATTTTTGCTTTTTCGTCAAATAAAAAGTGAAACGTTGGTGAACCTCACACCTGTATTTCTTAAAAAGTATCTGTTTCCTTACCCTACCTTCATCCCGTCTCTCTGGTGTGGCAGATATCAAAGATAGACTGCACTGACAATAAATATCTGTCAGAGCCAGCCATTCATTCCACATCGGGGCCTGTAAATCTTAAAGGGGGTCATAAAAGTAAGTATGCTTTTGTTTTATGCTTTTGTTTTGCGGTTAGCTTTATTCTCGGCAGTAGCTTGCATAAGTCAGATTTCCTAACTGAAACCATTTGGACAGCAATCTGGGAACCTGTTGGTTTGCTCGCTCATTCCAGGGCAGTCTCTAATGTGCACAATAAGAGATCACTTCCCCCCCCCCCCCCCATCATATTAAATCACAGCCTAGATGTCCATGTTTGCTGTTGTCTCTTGTTTTCTGGCCATGCCAGATCTGTCACGTATTACATGGAAAAGGGAGTTAGTGACCTCTCCCCAGTGAGCACTTCCTCATAAAAGGATCAGTCAAGGCTTGAATCTGTGATCTCAGGACTTGGCGGCATCCTTTTCCAATAAGTCGTGATTGATTTTCTGAGTAAAAAAAGCGGGCTTGTGCATTCCTGCGCAGTCACCTTAGTGTTAGCCTCTCTGGCTAAGCGGGTCGTGTGAGGTTGGATGCAGTCTTGTGAAGCCGGGCACCAGCTGAGATACTGCCACAGAGGAGAGTCAGCTCCCCCATAAGATCCTAATTACAGAGCTGGTGGAGGTAGAGGAGTGCCAGCTCCAGAAAAGGAACAAGACTTTCCCTTTCATTTGGAGACATATATGCAGAAAGGTTTACTATATATACAGGAAAGGCTACTGCATACTGTATATGCCTCACATATTGCAGCCAATAGCAATAGAGCAGCAATACATTTTTGTACCAAAATGTAAGAAAGCATACCGTGTACATTTTTGGACAGGTGAAAATGTCTTGAACAGACTTGGTCCCCTGTGGATTCTAGGTTTCAGACATTTTAGCGATAAAGCACGCTAGGACCAATTATTTGTCTTTTCTCTCTGTCCAGGTCTTTAAGTCTATGCAGTGGCAGGTGCACATTTGTCTGACTGAATGATGAGGCACAGATAAATCCCTCTCATAATGCCATAAATCACAGAATTGATGTTTGTAGAAGCACGGTGTCACTCATCATACGGCCACATGGTGAGTCATAGTGAAAGTCTTGATGAGACAAAGCCTTGTTTTCTTTGACCTCTTGTTCATTTTTGACTCTGGAAAAAGGCCAAGTTGCTAAAAACTCTCCTCTAATCATCTGAATAGAATAGAATCAAAACACAATTTTTAACAGTGTTTTCCTTGGACACTGTTAATATTGTTCTCATGACCGCATTGCTGCTATTGCATTCTTCATTTTCTCCCATTTTCTCAGGCTTCCAGCTGAAATAGGCCTTCCGTCATTAAAAACATCTGTTGGCACAAAGGATTAATGTACAGTACACTCCTCCTACTGTACCACTGTGTGGTGATGCCTGCACCACCCAGAGTTTGAAGCCAGAAGAGGGGGATTCTGTCATGAGAATTAGCTGGTGTTTGGTGACTGTGTGTCTGTCTGTGTGTGTCAGAATTACATAGCCTATTCTCTTAAATGTGGTTACAATGAAAATTAATGAATGGCATTATACAATACGGTTTTCCGTCACTGCCCACGGCATTTGATTGCATCAGATCAACTCCTTCTATGTTAGCTTAGTAACTCCAGCTGTGTTTTTGTTGTGCATTGGTTGGCTATATTTTGATGCAAGACTATGAGGTCACTTTGTCACATTGTGTGGTTGCTGATGAGCACACATGATTTTAACTACAGCAAATGTTAAGTGAGGGAGCAGAGTTTTGGACAGAAAACGCCCTTTCGACCGAAACAATGTGGTCAGCAGATAGTTTGCAAATTTATATTATTTGGTCCGGGTCATATAAGTAAACAGCTGTGGAAAAGCTCTGGTCACGTTATATTCATCTAAAATGCGGGTTAGTTCTTATTTTATATCATCAAGTGTAAGCTGTGTTAGAATACATGAGAGAAATGGCGGGTACCTGCTGACCTTAACATACTCATAATGTTCAGAAATGTGCTACAGATAGTATTCATGTCAGGTACATCATGGCGTACGTCAGAGGCAGTGTCATTTTGAACAGAACAATATTTTTCTCTTCAATTGCAATGACAGCGGTCGGAAAACAAACAGACATCTTATCCGCTGCAGTACGGAAGAAACTGTCCTCTCTGGAATATGATGTCCATGTCCCTACTGAAATATTGGAAATATGCTAATTCACCACAGAGAATGATTTTTGTTCCTTACCAGTGGCTGAAGTCTTGCTCCGTTTATCACACAACTTGCCAGTGAATGGATGTTTTTATAAATAGTGTATTTTCATGAAAATGTCGGAATTTTGCTAATAAGAATCATCTTTGCAACCTTTGCGACTACCATACCCTGCAGGAGTTTGGCTTAACAGCTGCATGGAGAGAATAAGATGTCACGTTTGTCATGGGGCATGCTTGGTGTTTTTTCACAAGGTTAACTTGGCTAAGAAGAATAGACTCCACACCCTTCCCCACCCTATAATTCCCATGAGACACAGTTTATTGTCTTCTTATAAGAGCCTCTCCCATTGGTGTTACCCACAGAAGCAGCTGTGTTAAGTGGTTTAGAGTGATTTTTCCTGGTTGAGATCTTATTTTCAACTGTTCCACTCATTATCATGCTTCATAGTGGATTATTGAGTCACAAAATCATCTGCTATAAACAATAAATGATGCTGAAAATATTTGCCAATTTCCTCAATGATCCAGATTAAAGACCATCAAAACATTGTTAAATAGTATCGCAACTCACTGTTCTTTGTGTCTGACTACATTGAGTTTTTAAAAGGAATAGTTGGACATTTTGGGAAACTTGCTCATTTGTTTTCTTGCCAAAATTTGGATGAGAAGGCCAATACCACTCTCATGTCCGTACGGTAAATATGAAGCTGCTGTCAGCAGTCGGTTAGCTTAGCACAAAGAGTGGAAACAGAGTGGAACAGCTAGCCTGGCTCTGTCCGAAGGTAACCAATCTGCTTAAAAGCACCTCTAGCTGTGTGTTCAGCCAAAACGTGAGGCAACTTTTAAAAGGTAGTGCAGTCAATTGAAAGATGCAATCAGCTCACGGCTGACAACTGGATAGTACACATTGTTTGGGGTGAATCAACAGGGCCGGCACAAACTGCAACCAGTCAAATTTGTGCGAAAGATGCAAGTCAAAAATGTGCTATGCCCTCTGTTTGAACACACTTTGAAGCTCATTACCACATTATATCTCATTTGTTTAATGCGTGCGAAAACCAAAGTGTGAAAACTACATGTTGTGGTATCGGAGGCAGCCAGTCTAGCGGTTAGCTGGCAAACTATACTATC